GTTTTGTCCGCCACTTTTATAATTTTGACAAATTGAGCATCTCTCCACAAATCTAGCAACATCTCTTCTTAAATGAGGCCAAAAGAACTTATCTTGCATTTGTGCCAAGGTTTTATCCCTCCCAGCGTGTGCGGACAGACCTCCACCGTGAATCTCTTGGATCAGCAAGTGTCTCCAGGATGACTGCGGAATGCACAGTAGATTAGCTTTAAACAAAAACCCATGACGTATAGAGAAGTCTTCAGCCGTCTCTTTGTTAAGGCACTTGAGCCAAGCATCAGCGAAGTCATCATCTTGTTCATACAAATCCTTTAGGCTGCTTAGACCTGAAAATTCGGTTTGCAATTGCATAACAAGGGCTGATCTGCGACTTAATGCATCGGCAACCTGGTTTTGGGATCCGCTTTTGTGCTTCAACACGAATGTGAATTTCTGCAGAAAAAGAATCCAACGTGCGTGCATCCGGTTGATGTTTTTCTGCGTGTTGATATATTGTAGGGCCTTGTGGTCGCTGCAAAGCACAAAATCCTGGTGTAGTAAATAGTGCTCCCACTGCTTTAGGGATCGAATGACTGCATATAATTCCTGCTCGTATACCGACCACCGCTGCCGCGACGGGCACAGTTTTTTGCTGAAGAATTCAACCGGCCTACCATCTTGTGTTAACACCGCTCCAATACCAATGGTAGACGCGTCGGTTTCAACTGTGAAGGGCTTCTCGAAATCTGGTAAAGCAAGAACAGGGGCGGACGAAACTGCAGCCTTGAGAATTTCAAAGCTGACTTGATACTCTTCACGCCAGTTAAATTGTTTTTGTTTTAGCATATCAGTTATTGGAGCTAGGATTGAACTAAATCCTTTAATAAATTTTCTGTAGAAATTTGCCAGGCCATGAAAGCTCCTAATATCAAAGAACGATTTAGGTGTAGGCCATTCAACAATGGATGCAACCTTCCAAGGATCTGCACTTACACCGTCCGCCGAGATCTTGAAACCCAGGAAAGATACAGTGCTGGCGGCAAATTCGCACTTGGGCATGTTCAAGTAAAGCTTGTTCTGCCTTAGTATCTCAAAGATTTTCCGCAAGTGCAATAGATGGGTTTCCAAACAGCGGCTAAAGACCAGTATATCGTCGAAATAGGCAACACAACATTTATTCAAAAATGGCTTTAGTACTTCATTCATGAGCCTCATACAGGTTGAAGGGGCGTTGCATAACCCAAATGGCATGACACGCCATTCATACAGACCTTCGCGAGTCTTGAAAGCAGTCTTCCATTCGTCGCCCGGTCGAATGCGAATTTGATGATACCCACTACGTAAGTCCAGTTTGGAAAAGATTTGTGATCCCGCTAATCTTTCCAACATTTCATCCATCCTCGGCATGGGAAATCGGAACTTAACAGTTATTTTATTGACGGCTCTGCTATCCACGCACATCCTCCAACTGCCGTCTTTTTTTTGTACAAGTAGAGCTGGGACAGCGCATGGGCTCAAGCTGTGTTGTATAAGTTGTTTCTCCAGCAACTCGTCGACAAGTTGCTGCAAAATGCAGTGTTCCGTCGGACTCATTTTGTAATGCGGCACATTCGATAATGACGCTCCCGGCAACAGATCAATTTGATGTTGTATAGTTCTCAAAGGTGGAAGCCCATCCGGTAGATTGTCGGGTCCAACGTCAGCATACTCCTTCAGCAGCGCCTGAATGGTGTCTGGAATCTTCGAGCCTTCATTCGAATTGGATTGCTCTTTGACAACAAGTGCCATAATATTTGATGCTTCTTTCCACGCATGTAGCAACTGATTACCTGAGACAACAAACATGGAAGTTTTGTTTTTGTCACCAGCTGAATCCATACCTGAGCCATTTGGCAGCAAGCGAAGTGTTCTTCCTTTCCAGTCAAAAGTGTAAGTGTTGGCTCTGTCGTCGTGAGTTGCGCCCACATCAAATTTCCACGGTCGACCGAGAATGATGTGGCACACATCCATGTCGATCATGTCGCAAATGGCTTCGCTCGCATAATATTTTCCAATGGAAAACGGTACTTGGCACATCTCCGAAACGGACATTTCTACACCCTTCCGCACCCAACTAATCTTGTACGGATAGGGGTTTTTGGAAGTTTTGAGTTGTAAGGCTTGCACCGCAGCCTTAGACACCACATTTTTCGTGCACCCGCTGTCTATCAACAGATCGCAGATCTTGCCATTGATCATGCATTTGGTTCTAAATAAAACATTCCTCTGAGAGTTGGTGGGATGACGTGGCGCCAACAGCAATTTCTGCAACACACAAACGAGGTTCTCCCCCTCGTCGCCTTCAACCTCCTCAAAGGACTCGTCCGGGTTATCCTCGGTACCTCCTGTTGCTTCCTCTCCTTCCACCTCCAGTAACTGCAATTGAGGTCGAGTAGGACACTCGTTTGATTTATGACCCTGCTGAAAACACCATAAGCATTTAATGGTCGTGGGCTTCACATAAGGATTTTCCTTATTTAACACCTTTGGCTTAAAGGCAGCTCTAATTTCATTTCCCCTGTTGTTCACATTCACGGTTTGCTGAGTACCAGCATTTACAGTTTGAGTTCGGGTTGCCTGTACTGCATTAAAGTTGTTCGAACTTTGGCTTTCAGCTACCGGTTCTATCACTTTTTTGCCCTGGCTGTGTTTACTGTGCCTTGCCATTTGAATTTCGACCTTCAACGCATAGTTCACAGCTTGCGACAAGGACCATACCGTATTCAATTCAAGTTTGTCTTGAATTGCTTCTTTTAATCCGCCCACATACCTTGCCACTAGCTGATTTGTAGTCTCGTTCAAATTATTCCAGGCGCTCAAACGGTAGAATTCCTCGGTGTACTCGTTAACCGATCGGTGCCCCTGTGTACAATGCTGGTATTGCAGATATAGCATCTGCTCATAATCCGTGGGCAGGAAATGACCACGAAGTAATTGCTTCATCCTCCACCAGCTGCGTACAGGACCTCGGCCTTCACGTCTCCGAGATTGCAGCAGCTGTAACCACCAAGCGCTCGCACCGGACTTGAGTCTGCAGGCCACATACTTGACCTGTTTAGATGGCTCAATCTCCATATATTCGAAGAAAGTCTCTACCGCCCTCTCCCAATCAAGGTAGTCCTCGATATGCAATTTTCCGTCAAAGAACGGTATGTCTATCTTGACGCGAAACTCACTGAGAGGACGAACATTCTCCCTTACGCGTCGCCGCCGTGGTTGCATCGTTTCTTCCTCGGAATCTGATAGTTCCATTTCTCCAAATTGCTCAGCTGCGTCTTCTGACTCCGATGCGTCCGTCATCGGAGCGTTCCGATGTGGATTTCGGAATCCGTCTCTCCCTCTTCGGACAACCGGTGTGGTTGCCGGTGTGACAGTCCGTAGATTGGGATTTCGCTCCAGACGAGCGTGTAATGCCCTCAGGTCCTGCCGCACCTCGGCATGGAAGCGATGGACCTCCGCGACCAGCTCCTCCAGGTGATTCGCCAGGCCTCTATGAGCTGCCCAAAGGGCTTCAAGGCTGTGTTCTTCTCCGGGAGCCACTCGTCGACTGCTCTCCGCCATCTGGCTCTGATACCAAATACTGATGAAACCTGCACAGGAAATGGACGGAGCAACAGAGAATAACACACAGGAAAATAGAGAAGACGAACTTCTTCTTGGATTAAACTTTCTTAACTGTCTAAGACCATTTTACTGTAGCACATATATCAAACTAAGCAAGCAGCCTATACTAAGATAGCTAATAAACTGAGAGCTAATACTCAATTACTGTAAAGCTAGAAATAGAAATTGTAACTCTCTCCCTGTATAATATCATTTCAAGGTACAAAGCTGAGTAGTTTTTGAAGTCTACTGCCAAAGATGATTCTGTTCTCTTGTAACAATACATATTAAGGGAGGAAAACATAAGGAAAAAGATACCAACAAAATAGATCTACATTTATATTAGTGCTAGTATGCTCCTCTGATCTGTCCAATAGTTAAACAATTAATACTGTTATGTTAAGGAAACTCAAAAGGAAGCAACATATGAAGTTCAATTCATAGTCTATGTTCGTTACTTAATGTTTTTCGTATCCTTTTTAGTAATGATTACATACGGATGGGCAAGTGACAATTATTTAGGTTGCCTGACAGCCGCATTTGCTCAATTTCAAGTGAAACATTTTTCTAACTGTATAACCTGCTTTGACCTGGCAAATGTAACAGCTATTCCTAGCCAGTAATACTCTTATAAAAATTGATTAACAATGAAAAAACAAATGCTAGAGATCACAAATATTCGCAAACACAAAACACAAATGATGTATTTTTCAATAAGAGGCTCTGTTTCACTGAAAAAGGAATGCAAAGCAAAATGGAATACAATCTAAAATGAATGCAATGTTGAAAGATATTGAGATGAGAATAAATGTTTTTTTTTTTGTTTGATTTAAAATAAAATGAATACAATGTAAAGTTCAATGATGGTGGTGGCTAGTGACTGGCGCCGGTGCGGGGCGGGCGGCGTCAGTGGCAAAGGCGGGAGGTAGCGGTGGCAAGCAGCGGCGAGAGAGAGAGGGGGGGGGAGGCAAGCAAAGAATGGTGGTGGAGGGAAGCGCCAAGCAATGACCATAGCCTGCAGTCCCGACGGTAGCTGTGAGGGTTGGTGACCAGCAATGATAGCAGAGTCAGCTTGGGGAATATTTGAAATTCAAAAATGAATTACGGAGTGCATTTGAAATTCACCAAAAATTTCTCTGCTTATCTTTTTCATCAAATCAAATATCCAAATTTCTATAACCCTACATTTAGAATATTTTGTATTATTTTTTCAGCAAACCAACCAACTCCTAAATGAACTAATTTTGCTACTTGTGAAGTTCCCTGAATAAGTGTTTTACCATCAAAGAGATTATAAAACCTTTTTATTAATAACAAAAACAAATTCACATGCACATGTTCTATCATCATGCTGCAGCAAAACATGGTTGGAGACATACCAAGTAGTAAATTAAGTTCAAAACTGGATGGTCCAGAACATCAATGTCAGCAGCTTTGTCAAATGCATTGAAGCACATCTGGTAAAAAGACATAAATAACAGCATGGTAACCATCCCAAACAAAGGAAACTACCTTCAAAGTTTACAATACAACAATATATAATCCACTAACTTACCATGATGCATCTAATCAAGAAACAGGTAAAGCATATGGTTGTCACATAGCCAACCTGCAGAAGGTAGAAAAATGAAAAAAAAATATTACTGATAAAAGATGTCACCAATTGAAAATATTAAGGTGCTTGGAAATTACTTCGTGCAATTTCTTGCGCCTTCCTTTTGATTCAACAGGAAAACGTTGCAACATCAGGAAAAGCCTGCCATAAAATAGAAAAAGGATAAATGGAAGCTGGCTTCAACCAATGCAAGAAATAAATGGTCCATGATACTAATGATAGGAAAGTTTTTATCACAAAAAGTTGAGCACAATTATTCTATAAGAAGTTCAACGGTACAAAAGTATCACCAAACAATTGTAATTATTTTCATAATATTGAGGTCCCAAAACTATGCATTCATAGGAACTCCATGTATTGGGTACATCTTTCTTAACCCTGAGAATTCTGTTAGACCGTTTTCTGCAGTTTTTCTTCAGATTTGGGCTGTTTTCCTGCTGTGGACAGCGGTTGGATTTGTGTTTTGTTGCCAGAGTGATTAGGAAATACTTGAAATCAGGTATTTCCTATCAAATTCTTTCTCTTTTAATGTCCTTGTTGCATTACACAGCGAACCAAAAGGATCATGTAGCACTGGACCACCAATTACAGCATGCCTGGAGAATATTTCTCTAGACAATTATGAAGAAAACATTACTAGTGACACTAGAATGCTAGAAAAGAGAACAGAGAGAAAGAAAGGAAAACACTTGCACACCTTTAAGAAACACAAAAACAAAGGAAAAATTCATAAGTTTTAGAAATAATTAATATTTTTGCAAGCAAAAGTCAATCGATAAAAAGTCTAACTAAGGCACAGTGTAAGGGAAATACAGCAAGTAAAATAGTTTGACAAAAGCATAAGTATTAATATGTTTGAAGTAAAGAATCAACACACTTGACGATAATTATAACATGTAAAGGTGCAAAGAATAGCAGAAGAGTGCTTCTGTGTGGAGGCAAATGTATTAATAGTAGGATAAATGAAAAGCAAGTTTTCCACTGAAACGCAGCACAAAAGTATAAGCAAATAAACCATTTGTTTATTGAATTCAGTGGAGAATCAGTTTGCTTTAGCGCACTAGAAGTCAAACAGTGTTTGAATAATACAGAGCGTAGAATTGAGACCTTCTGAATCCATAGCACTAAGAGAAACAGATTCGTGCAAAATTACATTATGCAAGCTACATGTATGCATAAATTTCATCTCACCTTCCACCATAAAGAAGGAAACCAAGGGCAGCAAGCAATGAGGCACCTGACAAGACATCCTTTTAGTCATTATAAATATAAAAACCATATGATTGTACTTTAGTAAGGAATTAAACCTTCCGTAACACAAGAAAAGAGTACAAACCAGCAAAAAATATTTTGGACAGGATGATAATGACTTGAACGGGCTTCCACCACATAAGCAGCCACAGCAAAATCTATAAAACAGTGACAGCACAGATAATCAAACAATGCAAAAGGTACAGACAACAATTAAATAAGTCGCATACAAAGATGGCGCTAGAAAGCAATAATTTGAAAGGGAAAGACATGGTTAACCAAAGAAAAGACCAATTATTGGGTTTGATAGTCAATTAGCACAGGCCATCTAGAACCTCCCAACTAAAATAGTAGACAATGGAAAATATGAAGATTTTGAGCAAAGGATAAATCTTTATTAGGAATAAGAAATGCCTCCATCATGAGTCTATAAGCAAGAGTAATGAACACCCATCATATAAACAGACACTCGACAATGCAAGGGAGTAAGGTTGTTGATAGGAATGGTAAGCCGCAATCAGAACCTTCCAAAATCCTTTAGAGAGGTGGATGATGGCTAAGACACTAGTTATAAGATGGGAAGATGTTATGATTAATATGGAAGGTTATGAAAAAGTAGATTGACTAGTTCAGAATTTTTGGATAAATTTTTAAACAAAATTTGTTTGCAATGGATGGCTAGATTTTCTTTGATAGAAAGAGATGAGGACCTTCAGTCAGAACCTTTGCATGTTAGCTAACCAATAAAAATGATTTTAGGCCAATTGGATATATGGATAAGAGGTTATGAATTTTCTTCTTGGACTGGTCACAATAGGAACATAGTGGGAGTTATGAATGGTGGAAGGGGGTATGACTTTGTTTTGTGAGGGTTGAGGTGGTTTGAGGCCCTGGAAATATAGTGGGGATATTTAAGAAAGTAGAATGATGAATATAGAATCAATGCTTAAGTTGGAATGAACATAAGAGTAACCAAAATAATTAGCTTCTCTGACCAAAGGGAAACCTAATGCTGACCACTACACTCCATCCCAAGAGAATAATTCTTAAATGGTGTTTTTCAAATGCCAAAAACTAATTTCATTACAAAAGAAGGCAACTTATAGCTTAATAAAATTATCCCCAGAAGCTAAAAAAATTCAAAATATGAAATTGGAGGGAAAGAGGGGAGGCCACATTAATTGAAATCATTAAATTGCCTCTACATTCTATGCAAGACGTCAACTTCCCAATAATGCTAAATTCCCCACTTTAGATGCAATATATAAATTCTTGAATTCAGATTTCAGAGAACTTGAAGTTTCAAAAACTCAAGTTTCCAAGGAAAATAAAAAGTACGTGATTTAAAATTTAAACACAAAATGATTTACTATTTTTTTCTACTCCACTTCTAGTTGGTTCCATCTTGCTTCATTCCCTATCTTTGTCTTCAGACTACTCTTTCTACGCTTCATTGTTTCTAGTTGTTGCCTCTACCACCTGCTTCTCTATTTCTCGTAATACTATTCCAGCCGCAATGTCGCCTTGATTTACCACAAACACGCATCTCGCGCACATTTGTTACCGCTATCATATTGTTGTTTCCACTGTTCATGTTGTTCTACTACCTGCTGCCTCTGTTCCAATTGTTCTATTGTGCTACCTCTATTTCGCGCTACTATCTCCCACTTCTATACTCACTCCCTGCTATTGCCAACTTCCTACCCACGTGTTGGAAGCATGAGTTGAATTCTTCAATCCAAGTGCTGGACTTTTCACAGTGGCGCTGATATTCACGAAGGAAGAATTGGACCTTGCATGGGATCCCTGAATTCATTGTAGCTGATCGTGACAAAGTGTTCCTCAGCCAGTTTTGGAGGGAGCATTCAGGTTGCAGGGCGCCACTCTTAAAAGGAGCACCGCCTGCCATCCACAGACAAACGGGCAAACGAAGGTGGTAAACCGAAGTTTGGAGACCTATTTGAGGAGTTTTGCTTTTGAAACACTGCGGATGTGGGCAAAGTGGTTACCATGGGACGAATATTGGTACAATACATCGTACCACTCTGCTTCTCTGATGACTCCTTTCAAAGTGATGTATGGAAGGTATCCCCCACACCTAGTGCACTATGGGAGGGGAAGCACACAAGTTTCTTCAGTTGAATAGTACTTGGAGGAAAGGGACAAGGTGCTAGAAGAGTTAAATAAAAATCTGCTGAGGGCACAACAAATCATGAAAAAGCAGGCGGACTCACATAGGAAGGAGATGCAGTTTGAAGTGGGATAGAAGGTGTTTCTAAAACTACGCCCTTACAGGCAGAGGATAGTGGTGAGGAGGAATGAGAAACTTGCACCGAGATACTTCAGCCCCTATGAGGTTTTGGACAGGATTGGAGCAGTGGCGTACCGACTGAAGTTACCACCATCAGCCACCATACACCCAGTTTTCATGTGTTTCAGTTGATGAGAGCTCTAGGGGAGCATGTAGTTAGTGCAGAATTACCTTCTACACTGATTGAGGATTTGGAAGTAGTCTTTGAACCAATGGAGCTTTAGTGTAAGATCAAATAAAAAGGGCAACAAAGAAGTGCTGATTAGATGGAGAGGCCTCCCTTATTTCAATGCTACTTGAGAGCCATTTGAAAGAATGAAAGATCAATTCCCTTCATTTCACCTTGAGGGCAATGTGAGTCTTTGGGAGGGGAGTAATGTTAGGCCGGCCCCTCATGGGCCGGCTGGACCGGTCCAACATGGAACGGTCCTTACTTACTCCAGGCGGGCCTCACATGGGGGCGGAAATGGGCGGGCAAGAGGGGGGGCGGAAGCCTAGGGACCCATGATTGTGTTTAATTCAAGTGTTGGAGGGAAAATTTGAATGGGAGGGGGGGAAATTTGAATGGGAGGGGTTGTTTAGGGATTTTATATGGGGCATTGGAGTTAATTAGGGGCGAAGGGGGATTTAGAGTTTCATCTTGAATTTGGGCTGATTTTTGGGATCTTCTCGGAGGCTTTGGCTCTAGTCTTCTTGGCTAGAGATTTTGAAGAGTTCTCATCCTCTCGAATTGAAGAATCTTGTATGGTTGTTGTCTTCTTTCACCTAGTCGTGGAATACAAGTGGTTGGCTTCATTTTCTTCAGATTTTACTCAATTTCCTTGTTGTTTTCCACTGTTTGGGACTGTTTCCCTGCTGCAAACAGCAGTTTCGTTGCTGTTTGTTCACCAACTTGGGATAGGTTTGCTTGCGAACTCAAGTATTAGCTTAGGGTTACTTGCGAACTCAAGTATTTCCTATCAAACAATTCACACAAAACCAGTCAAATGCAAAAAGAATACGGAACACAAAACTTTTTCAATGGAAAACTCATGGATAAAAAAATACACAAGCCTTGTCCAGTCCTAAAATCTCTATTAGTAAAGCCACGTATTACAAAAAGGTAGCTTTCCACAAAGCCAAAAAAGGTGTCTAAAAATGTAAAAACCTAGAATAGGAAGAGGTTCCCTTGCCTATCATGGAGAACAAAATGTGGAGGAGCTGGTGTTGATGGTGATAAAGAGTTATATATTGCCTTTTTTATGTAAGAGGGAGATGGACTAATCACGAGAGTGATGTTTGATGTCGGTCAACAACAATCATAATGCAATGGTTGGCGTTGGGTGATAACTGGAGAGAAGCATCAGGCGAGGTTATGGCAGCAACAAAGGATGACAAACGTTGGAAAATGGGAGTCCGACGTCCAATGCTAGCAGGTCCTGAAGTATGGTGGACATGAAATGATGACATGCTTCAAAGGACGATGGGCATAAAACAACTGGTGCACGTGGATGTCAAGCAAGTGTGATAATGGGCATTGAACATCAAGTGATCGTGACAACAGGTATCAAAAACTGAAAAATATTGAATGACGGGTGTTTGATACTTCAATTCTCTTCAATGCTTCAAATTCTATGCTTCAGTTGTCTGACAGCCATTTTTGACAATTGCAATTGCTTGACAGATATCAAATTATGGTGGAGGTTGGACAATGGAAGTCAATTGTTGGCATACATGGAATATTAACAAAGTAAGACGTCAAACATTGGGCATCGATTGTTAGAACATGTTGAATGTCGGTTGTAGGAGGACATCAAATGCTAGATTAGCGAACTTCAATGTAACTATGGTCTTGTTTGGTTGCGGCATTCCTTTTGCATAAGCCGGTAGGGAAGCAGTTATTCAATAATTGGAGTTCTCACAAAAATTACTTAAGCAAACTATAACGTGTTTGATTACATCATTTTTTTACTGTGTATGCAAACGTAAAACCTGACAAAATACATAATTGCCCTCTAATAATCCGTAATTATATCGGAGACGACCCAGACCTTCATAGCTTCTTAAATGCCAATCAACTTCCGCAGGCTCGAATGGACCAAAGTTCCTCTGCACCAACACCCGGAATGTCTCTGTTTGCTCGAATCTTTCTTCTACCTGACCAGTAAGGCGAAGACACCGTCTCCTATTCCTGTTCGGAAACCTACGCACCAACGCAGCACAGCATGCCGGTGAGAAACGCTGCTGCTGCTGTGTCGCAGCACTGGGATAGTTCGAGCTCCTCATACTTCAACCAATGATGGCCTGCAGCCAGGAACTGACAATCTACTTTGCTTGTCAAAAGCCTGGAGTGCTCGGCCAACAATAATGACCTTCTTACATTCCTCCAGTTGTTGCGGCATTGAACATTATGTGATTGATGAAATTGCAATGTGAGTGCAATTTCAAACACAAAGAAAAAATCAAAACCATAATGATATTTATAAGTTGTTGTGTTCTCGGAGAGGGAGAAGAACGGGAGTGAAAGGACGGCGAGGGGCTGGAAACGATTGGGGTGGTCGGCGCTTGTGATCTTGAGTGCTAGTGGGCTGGGTACTTCACGTGGGCAGGTGGAGTGAGAGTCGCGTGGATGGATGGAGTCGTTGATTGGGTTGAAGGTTGAAGGAGAAACTAACAGCCGAAATGATGGAGGGAAATGAAAATCGTGAAGTAGAAATGGAGCTGAACAAGCGAACCTCACTTGGGACGTGCGAACGTGGTGAGGGTAAAATAAACTTTTGCATGTGTAAACAGAGATAGTAGATGGGATAAGCAGCAACGTTCCGCCTTTTCAAATAGGCAAAAATATGGAGTTTTAAAAAAATGTATTTTGCAGAAGTCGTATTATCAAACAGTAACCAGCAACTGATTTTACCGATTAGAACCGAAAACGGTGTAAAAACGCCCTCTCAAACGAAGCCTATGTAAGAAATTTGCACAATTCAATTGGTTCAAAACTAACTTGTATTTAAAAACCAAATTGTCATTTTTACAAACCAAATCAAATCAACCAATACGTTTGGTTAGTTTTTGAATCAAGAACTCTAATATTTAAAAATCGATTTTTAAGATGCCAATTCAGTTATGTTTGCTTCGCTTTGATTTTAAGTGATTTTTAATAAATTGAAATATTCTATTTGTTCAAAAAGTCAAAATTGATGAACCATTAAAATATCTATAATTTTTCACGGTAGATCAAAAAATGATAATGATTCCACATGAAATAATCAAAAATCTAATATGCAATAGAATTTAGGTATAAGAATTATATTTTTATGTGTATAACGCTAAATTGGTTCGGCTTCATTTAATTTGGTTTTATAAACTTCAAGCATAAATTAAATCAAATAAATTGATTTGCTCAACATATCAAATGTAACAAAACTAAATCAAACAGTTCAATCAATTTAATTTGGATTTTTTATTTATCCTAATGATTTGTACAACATGTTACGCCGGCCCAGGAGGGGCCGGCTGGACCGGTCCAGCCCGGACCGGTCCACTGCTTCTACAGGCGGAAAAAAATGGGGGGAGCGCGACTCTGAGCGGAAACGGGGGGTGAGCCGCGTGGGTTTGGGGAGCGTTTGGAGGGAAATTTTGAATGTTGAGGGCTGTTTTAGGAAGTTTGTAATTGTCCTTCGTTTTGAATTAGGAGTTTTGGGTGTGGAGGAGGGATTATCTTGCATTTTGAATATTGTTGAGATCTAGGTTTTCTTGTTCTTGGGCTCTAGACTACGGCTAGAGATTTGGAGAGTTTTTCCTTCCTCTCGAATCGAAGGAAAGTTGTATCTTACTTGTCTCTTGCATTTACTAGTGGAATACAATCATTTGCTATTGATTTCCTACATTTTCTCTAAGTTTTTCTCCACTTTTCCGCTGTTTTTCACTGTTTTCCTGTGCGGGACAGCATTTGGCGAGGAGATTTGCACTAGAGACGCATAGGAAATACTTGATCCCAAGTAGGAAATACTTGATCCCAAGTATTTCCTATCACAACACTAATTGGGTGAAGGTGGATCCCTTGGGAGAAAATCCAGTTGTCTGGCAAGCAACGATCAATTTAAGTTGGCGAAACAAGAAGACTAGTAGAACACCAAAAAGATCATCCAAACTTCTAAAAGTAGTTCGAGCTCCAAAATACTCTACAATTCTAAAATTTAAATAATTCAAAACGTTTAAAAAATAAGTATAAAAATGGGTATTTATAGATTTGGAGGTGTATTCTAATCCTTATCTAGAATTATACAAAGATATTTTTCATTCTTATCCATAAGAAAAGCAACAGATTGCACTCTCTGACAAAAAAATTTATCAAACAATCCTGCCTCAAGGCTAATAAACCTAAACTATGGCTGCCAATAAATGATCTAACCCACCAACCCCATTCAAAAAAACCGAGGTTAGGGTTGGCTCGCTTAATAAAGGTATCTGGTTTGGGTCAAGAATATCGACCCGCTTAAGACCCGAACCCCAGCCCATTTACCTATTTTTGACACCCCTGGTGTAAACGAGTTGAGCCGAGATTGAGTTACCAAGCTTGAGCTTGAGCTTGAGTTTGATTATTAATTGAGTTTGAGCTTGAGCTTTATTCAATGCATTTGTTATGAAAGAGAAAAAATGATTATGATCAAAGGTCAAAATGGGTTAACGTATCGGTTTCACATCCGACCCAAAATTGACCTTACCCAAATCTAGTCAACCTGGACTCATTCGTTTGATAAACAGTTTAAAAAGACAAACCCAAGCCCAACCAGATAACCCCTTTTTGTTTAAAGAAAAAGTAATAACTTATCACCTATAGAGTTTATATCATTTGATCAAAAATAAAAAGATCATATACACAAGCAAAAGAACTTAAGAAAAAAAATTAAACGACCCATTTTTTTATCAAAACAAAAGTGAGCTTATGGGTCAACGCGAACCAAACTCTTTTAATAAACGAGTCAACATAAACCAGGATTTTTGGGTTAGGTTCGGTCAGGTTGGCAGGTTGGGTCATTTTTTGACACACCTAATGATGATTCACACAATTATTATAACAAAATGATAAAAAATGAGAAATTAAAAAAATCCCTTAATATAAGAAGGTCGAATAAGTTCTAAACATTTTTAATAATTTTGTACTTAACTTTTTAAATGCTATTATATTTTTAAGTATGTTTTATATTAATATTTTTAAACAAGTCAGCTCATAAGCTAAAGAGTCTAGTCAGGGATGGCTCAAGCTTGGCTCGTTAGCTCATCGAATTGAGCTCACGAGCAATTTATTGAGTCAAGCCTGAGCAAGCTCACAAGTTAGCTTGACTCACTTACACCCCTAACCTAAACTAAGGCTGGGTTGAGCAGCTAACCAACAAGCGACAGTTAGTGACAATGGCATTATGGTAACTTATAATGGTGAAGTATTTGATCAATGAATAAAATAAATAATCTTGAAGCTCTCGACATGATAAAAACAATGGAGTTACAAAATAAAAAATATGATGGTTGAATTATCATTTACAATTATTGAAAGCATTATGGATCAAACTGAAAGTTAGCAATAAATGACAATAATAAAATGCAATCTTCATATTGGTTAGTTCTTCTCCTTGAGAATATTCTAAAATCATTGATGGCGCAATAATCAGTGCTATATAGGAGGCGGAGGCACAATAACTCCTAGAAGGTGTATAAATAGATCTAGTTATTTGGGAAGTATGCATAAGATCTAGTTGATTTGTCGCAATCGTACACCCCAATATGATTGTTCGAGGCCTGGAGTGGTTAGGGATGGCCCGACAGCCACCTTGGTTGCCAACAAGGCGGTGATGACTTAAACGCTTCGTATTGGAGAAGAAAGAAGGTGGATGAAGAACGACAAGAAAGAGGTGGTACTCAAGTGGGATTAATTTCTTCAATCAACATGTTTGGGCTCATTTGGATTCAGACTTAGATGTTCATGGAGTTGTTGAAATCATCACAATGAGATGAACGTGTAGACTTAAATTTGTTAAATTTAAAATCTGTTTGGTCCAAAAAATGTTATTTCAAGTTTTTTTACATGTGATTGAGTGCCTTTGGGACTCATTTGGACTCACATTCAAGCTTTCTTCGTGTTTTAAGAATCATATCAATGAGATGGTCTCTTAAACAGCAAAAATTTATAAAAAAAATGGTCCTCAAATTTAATTTCTTAAATTTTTTAGTTCATATTTCGACTGCTTTGAGATCTAAAAAACTATATCAAAATTCATGCTAAATAAGGTGAACTTATGGAATCATAGCAATGATGGAGCATTAGGATTTATAAAGCTGAATCCAACCACAAATAGTTGTCTTACCAATCATTTATAATCATGATAACTATCAAACAAAAATGCATGTAGAAGACTCTAACATAATTACTCTCATTTATAACAGCCCAAAAAAAAGAGCTTGGATTGCTTTCCCTTTTCATTACTTAACATGGAATTAATGATAGTGAATGGACATTCATAAAGCTGATCCCTACACCAAATAATTGGGATAACGCTCATGAAGTTCAAAATAATGATGACCAGGAACATGGAGTACATATCATACTTCATTACACTTTAATTTTATCAAAGCTTACCTGCACAACATAAACCACTGCATTGATCGAAAAGAAAGTTGGTCTTAACCCATCAGTTGGCACTCCCCTTGCCTGCCATTATCTCAAAGTCAAGGTAAAGGGAAAAGAGAGCATACCAAAAAATGCATAACTGAAAAAGAGAACATAAGAACCTGGTAATATATCTCAGCCCAAAAGAGTGCCAGCAGCGCATATGTGGTGAAGAATGCAAGGGCAGGCATATCAAGAAGGATGTGCTGCAAAATCTGAAAGCCATACGAAACAGAGTTAGCTCATATCATTCCTCGCACATTAGTTAAAAATAACGTGAAAGATGATGAATAACCTCAGGTTTTATTTTCTGCACACCATGACGGAATACAAAGACGATAGATCGAACTGGAAATGTCATACAAGAAAACTTCATCGCAATAAGACGACATCAAATTTAGCATATGGAAACAAAACAAGCAGGATTCCAACCTCCATTAACAAGGAAATTCAATAAGTGAAACACCTTCTGCGTAGTCCATCCATACTCTGGAACCCTGCACTCGATTCTGATCAATTGTATCTGCAAGTATAAATTCATTGGAGAAATAAAAACTCGATTGCTACACAGCAATAGATTAGGCCACAGACCAATGGCCAGGGCCCCACTCCATCTTCCGAGGACAAAATAAAATTGAAAAGAAAAAAAATTAATAACAGATCGACTGAAGTCCTTGCAGAATTTGAGTAAGTTATTTTCAAAAGAGCAGCTTAACCCATCAACCCCGCTTCTCTTTCCTCCAGCAGGAAAAACCTAACCCTAACAAATAAAGCAAAAGCTCCAGGGGAATCGGATTACGAGGGCAACTGCGGAAATCAATCCAAAAAGCGACGCTAGGGTGAAGAAGATCCGATTCTGCCAAACCGCGGATTCATTCATCTCCTCCCACCAATCCGAGGCGCTGCTGACAACGGAAGTTGCCACCGACGCCATTCCGGTCAAACTAATATATGGTTCTCGAGCGGTCGCCGGTGCCGGAATCTTGAGAATTCGATGAAAATTCAGGAAAGCAAGATTTGGCTTTTTGAGAGACAAAGAGAGAAGAATCAGATAGGGATGGAATACATTTTAATTTTATGGTAGATTTGCAAATCGGTAAAATAAAAATTTTAAAGTACGTGTCGCCCCATATGATGTATCCGTAAATTCACCGTTTTAAGTTATTTATTAAGAATTTATCATTCAATATGTTCATATATAAATTAATTTGTAGCTTATGTTTATGTAATCTTCAATTTTTTTTTATAGAAATTTTTTAGAAGATAATTTAATAAATTATAATTTTGTACATTATCAAGAGGAGGATTACAATTTTAGATTCAAGTTAAAGTATTCATACATGAATTATAATTTATTTATTGAAAATATATTAATATTTTGTTAAATTATGTTTGTTCTTTTTTATTTAAGTATATATCATTATTATTATTATTAATGTTATAGATATAGAGATATACATTAAAATAAATGTTGAAATAGTTGAACATGATATAAATTGTGATGATACTAATACAAAATTCAAATATATTCATATGAAAATTTTTTATGATTTATAGATTGATTGAACCTATATTAAGAAACAATTTTATGAATATCATCTAAATGACACGGATTTATTGAGAATAACATACTTATTGAGAGGACATTGTCAACCTCGATATCATGAATTCTCTCAAACACAAAAGGGAAATAAATTACATACGGCTAATCTTCCGTGATTTAATTATATGGAGCTAATTGCTTATTTTGTTATATTTATAAACCAATATGAGAGAAAACAAATGGTGATAGCTTTGACACAAAGGGATTTCAAAATCGAAAAAAATAAAAAAAAGATAGATTATAAGTCCATGTTGAATAAATTAATAGTTCTCATAACATTGTATAAAGAAAATGCGATGATCTAATGAATCAAAAGCAAGGCATTAGATTTGCTATTATAAGACCTTCTGATCAAAATTGGAGAAATTACATAACTCGATTAATTGTTAGTACTGATTGTGTCCAATTTTTCTTGCACAAAAGAATTAATTTTTCGTGATCATTATGAAACCAAAGAATCAAACAATCAAGGAAATTTTCTAGAATTTCGTCACTTTCTTGCATTGCACTATAAAAGTATAAGAAAAGTTATATTAGAGAATGGTAAATTCCCTCTAACAAAAATCTAAATTTTAAATTCCCAATTCGATAATTGATCTCTCAATCAAGCCATGCTTCCTTTATTTGGGAATCGGTCTTCCATTCAAAGTCTATATCTCCTTATTCGAGAATCAAGCTCTCAGTCAAGCCCTTCTTTCTTTGCTTGGGAATTGATCTCACATTCAAAGTCTACATCTCTCTGTCCAAGAATTGGTATGTTGGTCAAGTCCTGCTTCATTTTTTTGGGAATCCATCTCCCATTCAAGTCTACATCTCCCTATCTGAGAATCGATCTCCCGGTCATGTCTTGCTTACTTTGTTTAGGATTTGATCTCTCATTCAAAGTCTACATCTCCCTATCTGAGAATCAATCTCTTGATCAAGTCATGCTTCCTTTATTTGGGAATCGATCTCTCATTCAAAGTCTGTATCTCCCTATCCGAGAATCGATCTCTCGGTCAGGCCCTACTTCCTTTGTTTTGGGAATTGATGTCCCATTCAAAGTCTATATCTCCATGTTCGAAAATAAATCTCTCGGTCAGGTCCTGGTACCTTCATTTAGAAATTGATCTCCAATTCAATGTCTATTTTTCTTTGTCCGAGAATCAATCTCTCAGTCAGGCCCTGCATCCTTTATTTGGGAATTAATCTCCCATTCAAAGTCTACATCTCCCTGTTCGAGAATCAATATCTTCGTCAGGGCCTGCTTCCTTTTACTTGAGAATTGATCTCCCATTTAAAGTCTACATCTCCGTATCCAAGAATCAATCTCTCGGTCAGGTCATTCTTTCTTTATTTGGGAATCAATCTCCCATTCAAAGTCTATATTTCCCTATCCGAGAATTGATCTCTCAGTCTGGCCCTACTTTAATTAGGAATCAATCTCTCCATATGATCATGCTTCATTTGTTTGGGAATCGATCTCTCATTTAAATTCCACTTCTCCCTGTTTGAGAGTCGATATCTCGATCAAGTCCTGCTTTCTTTGTTTGAAAATAGATATCCCATTCAAAGTCCATATCTCCCTATCTGAGAATCGATCTCTTGATCAGGCCAAGCTTCTTTTGTTTAGGAACTGATCTCTGATTCAAAGTATACATCTCCCTGCCCTAAAATCGATATATCGGTCAGTCCCCACTTTCTTTATTTGGGAATCGATCTCCCATTCAAAGTCTACATCTCCTTGTCCTAGAATCAATCTCTCAGTCAGGTCATGCTTCTTTTGTTTGGGAATTGATCTCCCATTGAAAGCCTATATCTCCCTATATAAGAATCGATCTCTTGATCAAGCTCTGCATCCTTTATTTGGGAATCGATCTCCCATTCAAAGTCTAAATCATTTTGTCTTAGAATCAATCTCTCAGTCATATTTTCCACCTTTTATTTTGGAATCCAGTTCACATTCAAATTTTAATCTACTAGTGATGTAACTACCAGTGTTACATCTATCTAGTCTAAATCCCAACCTCCCTATGTAGGATCACTTCCTTTATGGGCCTTGATCATTCAAACAACCTCATGGATTTAGTTGATCATCTCGGTCGATGCCAACACATGTAATTTATTTTTTTCAATTCATCACACCTATTGAGACTCCATTTGTTGACCTCACTTTTAGCTGATTTTGCATGGCCTGCAATTAGCTGGCCTGCAACCACTTGATTTACAACCACTTAATTTACACCTAACTTGCAGTCACTTAGCTTACCTTTAATGTAGCTTTAATCAATTATAACCCTAAATCATTCAAATAATTAGTAGTCCTACTTTATAGTCAATTGACTCAGTGCACTGAATCCCACAGTACACTGACCTTCTAACTTCAACTATTATTCATATCACTTCACTAGGCGCCTCATACATCAAAATCTCATCACTGGCCCTTCCAACCAATGGGGGACCTGTTTCCTAACCTAGCGCAATTGGTCAAGCACTCTGTTGACCCAAAGGCTAGACCCCAGACCATTCATGAACTTCATCAAACCTCCCTGGATACAATTTCTAGTCAACTGGGCTTGATTGGACACCTTGACTAAGTCATTAGTTGACTTGGTCAATTGAGCCTAAGTTTTATCAAACCAAGTAAACATAGGTTAATCTAGCTCATACATTCAAATCAAGCATATCTAATCCCTCTAGAATACTCTATTGCATGCCTTAAATATACCCAACACCACCATGAGTCAAAACTTAAGTGGTTTGACTTTGTTAACCTATTAACAATGGTAAAACCTATGTATACACCTAACCATTCAACCAAACATTTAAATCATTGCTTCAAACCTCTTGGAGTCTACCTCAACAGCATACTACACTTCCTTAGCCTTCATCCTAGTCAATATGGAATGGTTCGTTGGTCAAATAGTCAAACATGAGCTTAAACAAACACATATGGTCAAACCTCAATATGTATTTCATTTCCCTCCAAAACCCTTTGCCTAACCCATTAAATTAAATTCAAACCCTTCATAAACACTCTCCCAAGCCAGCCTAGTTGTTGGTTTAGCCTAAACAAAAAAAATGGTCCCCTCGCATGTGAGACAAAGCCATGTCATACTCAAGCATACAACCCACTCCTTTATCACTTAACCACATGGGATAAGTGTTGAGCATCCAACTAGCCTTCTCGATGCATCACAACCCTTGATTCGTGCCAGCCTGCATGGAATAGGGTACACCCTTCCATACCTTCATTCCAACATAATTTTATTTTGCTCTCCCACAGGTTTCTCTATAACCTCCTAGTCATTCCCTGTCATTTACATGTCACTAATGGTGAGATCGATAGAAGACCATGAGCTCGTCCATCGCAACCATTTAGGCTTCTTATACTGACTTTCTCCAAGCTCAATGCTTTCATCAAAGTTGATCTAGAACTTTGAAAGAGAAAATCTAGCCATTAAACTCTCCTTGAGATCAATCCTACTAAGGTAAAATCAAAACCCTAGGCATTTATCTAGGTTATTAAATAACTATATAAAAATTGCTTGAATGGACTTGAGAACCGTCCCCCACTCTTGCTTCAATTCTCTTTTAGCTCTACATAAAATTTCTCTCCATTTACATCTATATATGAAAAGCTTTAAAACAAACTAAAGTCTGGGGTTTTTGGGTGTGCTGTGAAAGAGACAAAATCACGATCATTTATATTGTATGTCTGTGATAAATGGCTATGATTTTGCCTTTACTTTCCTTGGTCAACCCACAATTTAGTCTGAATTCATCACTCACTAACCTAATCTCAACTATTCTTTCTATTTCACACTAAAACGGATGGCCATACCCGCTGTCATGGTGGTTAGTGCCTAAGTCAGCTGATCGCCGCTAGGTAGAAAATGAGTTAAAGTATTGATTAAATGGTTTAACCATATAAAACTTCTTAAATTCATATTAAATTGAATACTCAACCAAGTAATACGTATAAATACTCTACATTTTCAGTATAAAATTCTCTATATTTTAAAAATAAAATTAGGCTAAAAGAGTGAATGTACTGAGAGAAATTCCATTTTAGGTGGATGTACAATTTTATTAAATCCTCTTTGTACATACATATGATTAAGTCAAAACATAGCTGAGCTATAGCAAGGGACATTTCTCACTTCTAGTAATTTTCTTAGGGTTATTTGAGATTAATATTAATCACACATGAATTTACAAAAACTTGGGTCATGATTTGACCTAGATTTTTGAAAATTCATAGTAAATTCATTTATTGTCCAATCTCTGCATGCTAGAGCTCTATGGATTTAGTGTGATAGACACATTTATTTAAAAATAAAATTGAAACCAGATCATGCATAGTATAAAAGCAAATGACCTTTAAGTGCCTACATATTTATGTTTATTGCTCTCAAAATGTGCATGATTTTAAGGTCAAATTTTGAGGGGAAGTATTTGAATATGTTCATTACATTCTCCAATTTAATATACATCTTTTAT